GTGACGGTGAATTTTAGCTACGAGACTAGGCGAGTGAAATCAGATCGTTTTCCTTGGAGTAGGGAAGATTCAATAGAAATGTATAAGATTATGACAGGTTTAAGATTATATAGACAAAGCTAAACTGCTCCCATTATTTAGTAGATGAAACAAGGACAAGGGGGACACATTTAAGGTTTTGGGAAAGAAATGTCAGAGGTGTAAGGCAGTAAAGTTCTTTGTTTGTTTATTTATTTATTTATTCATTTTGCAGGATGTGGGTGTTGCTGGCTGGGCAGCATTTCTTGCCCATCCCTAGTTGCCCTTGAGAAGGTGGTGGTGAGCTGCCTTCTTGAACCGCTGCATTCCTCCTGCTGTGGGTTGACCCACAATGCTATTAGGGAGGGAATTCCAGGATTTTGACCCAGCGACCGTGAAGGAACGGCGATATATTTCCAAGTCAGGATTGTGAGTGGCTTGGAGGGAAACTTGAAGGTGGTGGTGTTCCCATATATCTGTTGCCCTTGTCCTTCGAGATGGATGTGATCATGAGTTTTGGAAGGTGTTCTGTGAGGATCTTTGGTGAATTGCTACAGCGCATCTTGGAGATAGTACACACTGCTGCTACTGAGCGTCAGTGATGGAGGGAGTTGATGCTTGTGGATCTAGTGCCAATCAAGCGGGCTGCTTTGTCTTGGATGGTGTCAAGCTTCTTGATTGTTGTTGGGGCTGCACCCATCCAGGCAAGTGGGGAGTATTCTATCACACTTCTGACTTGTGCCTTGGTGAACAGGCTTTGGGGAATCAGGAGGTGAGTTACTTGCCACAGTATTCTCAGCTTCTGGCCTGCTCTTGTAGCCACTCTGTTAATGTGGTGAGTCCACTTGAGTTTCTAATCAATGGTAACATCCAGGATGTTGATAGTGGGGCGTTCAGTGATGGCAACACCATTGAATGTCATGGGGCAGTGGTTAAATTGTCTCTTGTTGGAGATGGTCATAGCCTGGCATTTGTGTGGCGTGAATGTCACTTGCCACTTGTAAGTCCAAGCCTGGATATTGTCCAGATCTTGTTGCATTTGAACATGGACTGCTTCAGTGCTGAGGAGGCACAAATGGTGCTGAACATTGTGCAATCATCGGCGAACATCCCCACTTCTGACCTTATGATGGAGAGAAGGTCATTGATGAAACAGCTGAAGATGGTTGGGCCTGGGACATGACCCTGAGGAACTCCTGCAGAGATGTCCTGGAGCTGAGATGACTGACCTCCAACAACCACGGCCATCTTCCTATGTGTCAGGTATGACTCCAATCACCGGAGAGTTTGCCCCCTTATCCCCACTGATTCCAGTTTTGCTAGGGCTCCTTGATGCCACACTTGGTTGAATGCAGCCTTGATATCATGGGCTGTCACTCACCTCACCTCTGGACTTCAGTTGTTTTGTCCATGTTTGAACTAAGGCTGTAATGAGGTCAGGAGCTGAGTGGCCCTGGCAGAACCCAAACTGAGTGTCACTCAGCAGGTTATTTCTGAGCAGATGCTGCTTGATAGCACCGTTGATGACACCTTCCATCACTTCATTGATGATCAAGAGGAGACTGATGGGGCGGTAATTTGCTGGGTTGGATTTGTCCTGCATTTTGTGCACAGGGCATACCTGGGCAATTTTCCACATTGCCGGGTGGATGATAGCATTGTAACTGTACAGGAACAGCTTGGCTAGGGCAGCAGCAAGTTCTGGAGCACAAGTCTTCAGTACTATTGCTGTAATGTTGTCAGGGCCCATCGGCTTTGTAATATCCAGTGTCTCCAACTGTTTCTAGATATCACGTGGAGTGAATCGATTTGGCTGAAGACTGGTATCTGTGATGTTGGGGACCACTGGAGAAGGCTGAGATGCCCTTGCCATCCTCAGTGCTTCCTCCAAGTGTTGTTCAACATGGAGGAGTATCAATTCATCAGCTGAGGGAAGACAGTATGCAGTAATCAGCAAGACGTTTCCTTGCCAATTTTTAACCTGAAGCCAAGAGACTTCATGGGGTTCAGAGTCAATATTGAGGACTCCCAGAGCAATTCCCTCCTGACCATATACCACTGTGCCACCCCTTCTGCTGGGTCTGTCCTGCCGGCGAGACAGGACATATCCAGGGATGGCGATGGTGGTGTCTGGGACATTGTCTGTAAGGTATGATTCTGTGAGCATGACTATCTCAGGCTGTTGCTTGACTAGTCTGTGAGACAGCTCTCCCAATTTTGACACTAGCCTCCAGATGTTAGCGAGGAGGACTTTGCAGTGTCAATAATGCTGTTTCTGCCTTTGTCTTTATCGATGCCAGGTGATCCGTCTTGCTTCATTCCTTTGAGACTTCATAGCACTTAGTGCAACTGAATGGTTAGCTAGACCATTTCAGAGGGCAATTGAGAGTCAACCACACTATTTCGGGTCTGGAGTCACACGTAGGCCAGACCAGGTGAGGATGACCAATATCCTTATATAGCAAAGGACAATGACCTGGAACTTGTGGCCTAAGAAAAAGTGATGGACGTAGAGTCAATTAATGATTTCAAAAGGAAACTGGATGGGCAGCTCAGGGAAAGAAACTTGCAGGGCAGTGAGGAGAGGGGAATAATGGGAGTGACCGATTGCTCCACAGAGAGCTGACTGTCTTCATGAGCTGAAGTCCCTCTTTCAGTGCTGTTACAACTCAGCTGGAGCTGTGCCATGGAGCCACGAGGATTGGGTGAGGAGATGAGTGGGCTCATCTGTGATGTACCACTAGTCAAATAGTCAGTTTTGGTGTAGCATCAAAGGCTCACACGCCACAACAGATACCAGGGTGCCCAGTGGATCAAATGAAATTAGAGTGCCTGGCAATAAAATTGGATAAACACAAAAGTGCGCAATAAGGTGCTTTTTCTCTCGATTCTAACCCTTGCTAGTCCCAACACTGTCAATTCTTATGCCCTCAAATCTCGAAACTTCAGATCCTGAACAGCTAGAAGCAATTAGCACTAAATAAATAGAAACCAAAACAGGGCCGATTCAACTAAACTATCTTTATTAAGAGAGAAGCTGTAAGAGCCTGACTACTTGTTGTTAACAGCTGAACTGCACTGTTTGTGGCTCACTGCTAGATGGGCCGAACTGAGCGGATGTTTGAGTCTGCACTCAGCAGCTTCCTTCCCTCCCTCATTATAGCCGAGGTTTAATCAGAATAAACTGAGCTGAGCCTAGCCCTTCGGTACCAGTCAGACAACAGCACCTTCGAAGACAAAGCTCAAAACGATAATCTTGATGTTTGCACCAGGTGTGGAAAATCCCTCATGTGATCTACCTAGTTTCAGAACTAGCATCCCCCTCACACCAAGAACAAACAAGGTGACAAATGCAACCCTGGAAAAAGTGCAGATGCGGGCCTCTGTAATTGATTGGCCCTCTGTTGATGGGGAGGCAATGGCCTACTCGTGTTACCACTAGAATATTAATCCAGAAACTCAGCTACTGTTCTGGGGACCTGGGTCTGAAATCCTATCATGGCAAAATGGTGGAATTTGATCTCTATACTAAAAAAAAGTCAGGAATTAAAGGGTCTAATGATGACCACGAAACCATCGTCAATTGTCAGAAAAAGCTGTTTTGTTCACCAATGTCCTTTAGGGAAGGAAACTGCCGTCCTTATCTGGTCTGGCCTACATGTGACTCCAGACTCACAGCAATGCAGCTGACTCTTAACTGCCCTCTGGGCAATAAATGCTGGCCATTCCTTTGAGTGAATAAATAAAAGCTCTTCCTTACGCAGCTTGGGTCCTGAACAACATTTTTCATTCATGATGTGTAAATGTGATCCACTGCCTGTGATATAGAAATGGGGTACACGTTTGTGACCTTAATAAATCGCTTTCATTCAACTGTACCTTTCCTTTAACATCCCGTTCACCACTTCCTTGTCAGGGCTGAATTTATCTGTTTACTTTTGTTACCCCATCTCAGCGACACATTGCCACGTTTTCAAGCATGCTTTGTTAACTCTTCGAACCAGGGCTTCACTATGATACAGCCTTCGAGCAGCAAACCAGTTTCTTGAATAAAGTGTCATTCTTAAACTGCAGAGAGTTTCTCCTCACCATGACCGCATGGACACAGCAGACCGACTGTGATCAACTCCAAGCGCCTGGAATCCAGGGCCTACCATCAAACGACCTCTACCCCCATTCCACCTCTCCTCGAGTCTGTGATAATTGATTTTGATTTTATAGTCACAGTGTGTTTTACAGTAAGAATACAATAAAATATATCGAAAGGCTTTCATTTGTCGCCATGAAACAGTGCCATTTTGAATAAATTTAAGAATGAAGAAATATAAAGCTTGAAGAGAGGTCATCGCCATCTGCACCACTGCTGCCTACACTGGACCTAACCAACATCGACGTCACCGACCCTTGGGCACCATCTTTGCCATTGGGACGATACTAAACCACCCCCCCAACCCCCTGCCTCGGCCAAAATCAGAGTCACATCTCTCACCACTGGGCCCACCTCGATGTTGTCATGATGCCCTTCAGCTACCACCGGGCCCAACCAACAACGAAGTCCACCTTTCCCACAGCCAACCAGGAGGAGACGGGCAATTCATCTCTCCTTTAAATAAAAAAGCAGCTTGTTCCCATATCTCCTGGCACCTCCGGAGTGGGTGGGTCTGGAACCCCAGATCTCCGAGCCAGAGGTCAAAACCCCATCACTGTGCCACCAATGACTGGCGGCCAAGAATAGACCAAACCTCTTCTTTTCAACCCCCTTATCTCCTGTTATTGTAAAGCAGATTTCAATATTGGAAATAAAAAAGTGAAAAATAAAACAAAAATAACATGTGTCTCTCCCTCCACAGTCGCTGCCAAGTCGGAGTTTCTCCAGCACTGCATTTATATTGAACTAGTCACCCTTGGCCACTCCAGGGAAATGCTACAGTGAATCGGAAAACCCGCTGCATGGTGTTCTCTGCCAGCTGCATTGCCCTTACCTTTCCCATCCCTGGGCTCTCCTTCACCTTGTTGATAGCTCGGAGGAGGCAGGGGGGTGCCGGGGGTGGGGACGTCTGCAGGATTCCGCTGAAGTTGGTCGGGAACAGCGGGGACTCGGGCACATTCGCAGCAGGAGAGCGATGGTGTTTCTTCTTTTTGGAGGACAGGTTGAGTTTCTGGGCAGCCCTGCAGGAATGGAAAAAGGAAATGAAATTTTTTTTAAAAAAAATATAATAATAATAAAAAGGAAGAGCCAGACGCACTGAGCAGCTGCACCTCTGGGCTAAGGAGCAGAGTTCATTTGGAACCGGTCCCATCTCCACCCCCAACCTCCAAGGGACAGACTGCAAAACCTCAAAACAGCATAGCCTCACCAGGAGGTCAGGGGTGCCATTCCCCTCCCTGCAGTTGGGAAACTTCACTTAGTGGGAGCGCCCACTATTCTCAGCCTTTGAGCATTGCTCCTGACCTGAGGTGGTGAATTGACCCTGAAGCTAAAACTATGACAACCAGTAATATCCCAAGGACACACAGAGTCAAAAATCACGACACCAGGTTACAGTCCGACAGGTTTATTTGAAAACAGTAGCTTTCAGAGCTCTGCTGAGGAAGGAGCAGTGCTCCAAAAACTAGTGTTTTCAAATAAGCCTGTTGGACTGTAACCTGGGCATTGTGTCATTTTTGACCTTGTACACCCCAGCCTAACACCGGCACCTCCACATCATCCCAAGGACAGAGCCAACAGCTACATTCAGGAGGAGCATGTTAACTGCCAGACTAATGGTGATTTTACCGATTTAACTTCAACACAGTCTTACCAGACCACAGGGCTGCTCTGACAGACAGCACGCAAGAGAGAGAGAAACTGGTGGAGATTTAACCAGAGGGTCACCACGCCTCACACAAAAAGGGGAGAGATTGAGAAGGAGGGTACTTCCTAGTAACCTCAGTCTTTGCAGGAATTGAACTCACTGGCTTCATGAAGGTTTACCTTCAGCATCAAAGGCGCAGCTAAAAGCAGCATGTTTATCAAAAAGGGATACTGGATTGTCGAGGGGCTGAGGGAAGACCATGCCCCTTGTTCTAGCACAGGGAAGTATGGCTCATGGACATCCTGATTCACTGCAGAAAGGGCAGGAAACATTTCAGAAACAAGTGACACTGTTGTCTCCTGTCGGGTCTCCCCAGCTTTAGACAGGGCAGAAATGCTGCTATCTGCCATCTTCACCCACCCAAACCAATCTGTATTACCATCATGTTTAGCTGAGATGTATTGAACAACACCGCACTGCAGTTCAAATCCCGCAGCATAAAGTTTTGTTTCATGTGTCATTGTAACCAGCACATTTTGTACCAGATACAGTTAATACGATTACTAAAGCCAACTTTGGTTCTTCGCCACCTTCTATTATGCAATTTGATTTGCTACTGCTGTGATTGGCTTACCAACATTGTTGCTCCAACCATGTTCAGACAGCATGACAGAAGGCCATATCAGTCATTGTGCCTCTGCTGACCTTCCTATGCAGCGCTGTGACTCCACGAATGAGACTGAAATGCAAATCCCACTGGATCCTTCGCCCATCTAGGGGCGATGTTAGACCCAACTAAAACCAATCCAATCAATAAAAACCACAACTTGTTGAAGAAATTCAGCAGGTCTGTGTGGACAGAGAAACCAAGCCAGTCCGACAGAACTCTTCCTCAGGGAAGTCACATTCCTCCCACTCACATACTTTTTGTCGTATCAGATCACATTTCTATTGAAGGGGTCAAAATGAAGATAGGTTGGAGAAAGCATCAAGTTTCTTTCCACGACACCAATCTCAAATAAATCAGAGACACTTAAACCACAGAGATTTCCAGAAATAAATTCCTCCACCGTGCTATCAATCCAACAATCAATACAGATTTCATCATTCAACTCAGATTGCCTCCATTCCTAGCCTGGCTGTTGTCTTCCATTGAGTCTTTGACTGATGCCTTCACTCCCATTCACAACTCAACTCATTTTCAAAGGTTTAACTCAGTCAGTCATTGCTAACTGTCTCCATGGCCACAGTGGCAGCTGCTCGATTTTGGGAGGCTGTGCAGGTGTTGAAGATGCAGTTATACTGCTACCTCAGGTGGTATCACCTTCACCTACAATTTGGATTTATACAACATGTTTAACCCACTAGAGAGGGAGTGCAGACTAGGTTCACCAGGCCGATACCAGGACTGTCCTACAGTTCAGCTGAGCCTGTATTTACTAGAGTAGAGAAGGATGAAAGGGGATCTGAATGACATGTATACAATTCCAACAGGGTTGGATAGATAAGCTGCAGGGAGGATATTTCCCCTGGTTGGGGAGTTTAGAACCAGGGGCACAGGCTCAGGATGAGGACTAAGCGGAGGAAAAATTTCTTCACTCAGAACTAAAACTGAACTTGTGGAATTCTCTGTCACGCGAGACTGTGGAGGCCAAGTCACTGGATATATTCAAGAGAGATAGACATATTTTAGATTTTGAACAAGTTATTTGTTGTCACATATAATCGAGAAAGACAGTTAAAAGCATCAGTTGCCATGATGCAGTGCCATTGAGTTACAAAAAGAAAAATTACTTAAATAGATTGAGTGTTCTGTACAAGGGGGTTCTAGGGCTTTTGCAACGTGTTCCGAGCCTCAAGGCTTCCTTGCTCCAGGTACAGCAATGACGACCCAGCCAAGAGTCCACACTTTGGGCATACCACAGCCAATGACCCGCTGAGTCCATGCTCTGGGCATCAAAAGGTTTTGGTAGAAAATAGGAAAATGGCATGGAGATATAGGATCAGCCATGATCATTCTGAATGGCAGAACAAACTCAAAGGCATGAATGGCCTACTCCTTGTTTCTATGTTTTCTCATAGAAGCATTCCCAAGACGTTTTGCAGGAGTGTTATACAGGAACAATGGGCACCAAGATCTAGGAGCACATCTTAGGGCAAGTGAGACCTTAGGTGAGATCAGTGTGTGGTCAGTCTGAAGAACATCAAGCCACTGGACAACCAAAATATGAGGGCTTAAGTACAATTTTTATAATCTATGGGGTGTAGGGGTAACATCACTACACTGGTAACCAACAAATCCAGGCCAATGCTCTGGAGATATGGATTCAAATCTCACCTTGACAGCTGGTAAAAATCTGAATTCAGTTCATAGATCTGGAATTTTATAAAAAGCTGGACAAATGGCACGTAACGAGCGTCAATGGTCTTAAAATCCAATTGTGTTCACTAACGTCCTTCAGGGAGGGAAATCTGCCATCCTTACCTGGTCTGGATTATACAAGGCTCTAGACTCACAGCATTGTGGTTGACTCTCGATTGTCCCCTGAAATGGCCAAAGCAAGCTACTCATTTCAAGGGCAGTTAGAGACAGCCAACATGTGCTGATCTTGCTAGCAGCACCCACCTCCTAATAAGTGCATCACTTATTCAGAGACTCAGGGCACACGTAATGAACCAAATGCCTGCCTTCTGTGATTGGGGTTTTAAAAGAAATCACAAAAAAATGCATTAAACCGGCCATTTAAAAAAAAAAACACACAAAGTAGAATGACAGTCAACCTTATTGAAACTTCCCAGATTCTTAGAACCAACAGGGTGGATATGGAAAGGCTGTTTTGCCTTTGTGAGACAGTCTAGGGCCAGAGGACATCATTTCAGAATAAGGGGTTGCACATTTAAGACAAAGATGAGAAGGAATTTCTTCAGTGAACCTGTGAAATTAATGGGGAGGCAATGGCCCAGCAGTATTATCGCTGGACCATTAATCCAGAGAACTAGATACTGTTCTGGAGACCCAGGTTCAAATCCCACCTTGGCAGATGGTGGAATTTGAATTCAATAAAAATCTTGAATTAAGAGAGAGTCTAATGATGACCATGAATCCATTATCAATTATCTGGTAAAAACCCCAGCTGGTTCACTAATGTCCTTTAGGGAAGGAAACTGCCATCCTTACCTGGTCTGGCCTACATGTGACTCCAGACCCTCAGCAATGTGTCTGACTCTTACCTGCCCTCTGGGCAATTAGGGATGGGCAATAAATGTTGGTCCAGCCTGTGACACCCTCATCCCGTGAATGAATTAAAAATCTTTCCATTTCAATCTGTCATCATGACAATTTCCATTTCCTGCTTTTACCTATCCAGGCTTCCCATAAATGCACCTAAACCAGAATCAAATTGTTAGAGAGCAGAAGGAAGCCAGTTGGCCCATCACATTTGTACCAGCTCTCCAAATAAGCATCTCACTTAATGCCATTCTCCTGCCTTCTCACTGCAACCCTCTACATTCCTCCTTATCAAACCAAGGTCTAAATCCCTTTTGAATGCTTAAAAACCCCTTCACTTCAACCACTCCCGTGCTACCATTGTGCATTCTAGCCACATTTTGGGTCAAGAAATTCCTTCTAAATTTCCAATTTGATTTCTTGATGACTGTCTATACTGATGACCTCTAGTAGACCTCTTTTCACAAGAGGACATACCCTCTCTGCATCCACTTAATCAAAACCTAAGGAACTCAGCGGTAATCCCTCAACATTCCTACTTCAAGAAAGAAGAAAAAAAACCTAACATCTCCTGATAGGTGCACATCTGCATCATAAATTTTCTTTGTGTTCTTAAGTGCCTCCACATCTTTGTCTTAATATCACGACAATGGTCCTTGTCCAGTAATAACGAAAGCCAAAAATAATGTGGATACTGGAAATCTGAAACGAAACAAACTGCTGGGAGAAACTCACCAGGTCCAGGAGCATCTGTGGGGACGGAAACAGTTAACAATGAGTGTGGTTCGAGTCTTCTCCGAAAAACATTTGATAACATGAAATAGTAGGAACTGCAGACGCTAGAGAATCTGAGATAACAAGGTGTGGAGCTGGATGAACACAGCAGGCCAAGCAGCATCAGAGGAGCAAGAAAGCTGACGTTTCGGGCCTTGACCCTTGTTCAGAAGAGGGTCTGAAGAAGGGTCTAGGCCTGCAATGTCAGCTTTCCTGCTCCTCTGATGCTGCTTGGCCTGCTGTGTTC